TTGAGTTGCGCGCGCTACTAAAGACACGTGTTACCATGGAAACCAAACAATGGTGTAGCTGTATTAAAGTCAGAGTGGAAACAGTCGTGTGTAAATCTGATTTTGTCAGAAATTGGGAGAAATGTGGGAGAAATATGACCCCGGGAGGAAACCGGGAGAGGGCAATGAAATCGGGAGTCTCCCCCAAAAATCGGAGGGTTGACAAGTATGTTGTCAACTAACCATTCAGAAACGTCCTGCTGCAACCGAGATGTATGCACCTCCACCAAAACCTCCGCTGCTTCAGGGTCAGTTTCTGGATCAAATTGATAATATGCTTGAACACATGCATTGCTCTGAGATGACATGTTTATTCCACACTCGTAATCACAGCAAACATGGTGACTCTCGCCGGCTCATGCCCCCCTCTTCTGCAGGGGGGCGTGGTCAGCTGCTGCTCAGAATTTTCAAAGACAGGCTTGGAATAGAGCGAAAATGAGCGAAACGAGGCATGGCTAAAAAATGATCTGTTTTGTATTTTGAAAAATAAAATCTATAAATATACCTTATATAGGTTTGGTCATACACTATATCATTTAAATATAGCATGATAGGTCTCCTTTAATTAACTTTCTTCATGGTGAGAATGACACTTTGCCAATTACATTTTTAAATGCTGGCTAAACATCACGTTTGAATTGACTGAGAGTACATATTTGTACATTTGTGTTGTAGTTAGTGCCTTCTCTACATCAACTGATTATCGTCAGTAAGGGTTAATCACAACACCCCTATATATTCCAAATGAATTTGTCATGAAAACAAAAGTCATCATCCAAGTAATAATAGTAATAATAATAATAATAACTTTGATTTATATGGCGCCTTTCAAGAAACCCTTGGTTGCTTTACAATAGGATGTGGGGCCGTGGGCGGGGGACGACGACAAAAAGGAAAACAAGGGACTAGAAGATAAAAAACAGAAATAAACAAAGGCTGGTCACAACAATTAAGAGAGAGATTAACTGAGGCTTAAAGCCCTGACAAACACATTTAGTTTGAGTGCTTTTTATTTTTATTTCCACAGTCATTTTAAAAGGAAGATAGTTTCTGTTGGTGTTTTCAGCAGATGTCTCTTATTTAAAAATGTCATTTGATCTCTCAGTAGTGTGGTAGGGTTAATCTCAGAAAGTAGAAATGTAGTAACTATCTACTGAGGAACATGTTTGAATCTTGTTTCTTTGTTTTTGTTAAGTCTCAAACCCAAATGTCTCCGAATTCCTTTTAATAAAAAATATGTATATCAGGAGTCATTTGACAGGATTAATGAACAAAGTGTTCCTGTGTCTGTCTTCTCCAGTTGCCCAGAAGGTTGTGGCCATGAGGAAAAAGCAGCAGCTCTCTATTGGTCCGTGCAAATCTCTCCCCAACTCTCCTAGCCACTCTTCAGTCCCCGCTGCAGCCATCCCCTCTGTTCACATCAACCAGGTATTCAAATCATCACAGACGGCACACTGTTCTTTTCTGTATGTGTAACACTTCTCATAGTCTTTTATCTGTGTGGGAAAATAAAAAGAATGTCCCTCAGTATAAATACTCTCTGACTTTCCATCTTTCCCTCTCGTCCTACCTCCCTTCTTCTGTTTCTGTCGTTTCCTCTTAATCTCTTGTTCCCCAGGCGGCCAATGGTGGGGGTGCGTTCAGCGACTACTCCTCCTCTGTTCCCTCCACCCCCAGCATAAGTCAGCGGGAGATGCGCATTGAGACCATCGCTTCCTCCAACACGCCCACGCCCATCCGCAAGCAGTCGAAGCGCCGCTCCAACATTTTCACAGTAAGTATGCGACAGCTGATGCAAAGCAACACCCACTCACACTACTAGAAGGCATGCTGCCAAGCACACTTTGTCCACCAGAGGGAGACGGGTAGCTCCAAATGCATCAAAGCCACCTCTCCTGCCTCCCATGCAGGCAAAGAAAGCGTCTTTTTCACACAGCACAAAGAGCAAAGGAGAAATAGAAATTAAATTAGATCCCCAAATATGCTCTAGAAGTATAAACCCTTCTTTTCAAAGCAAATACTAAAGATAAGCACTGTGGAAAACAACTCTTTACATGTCCTTTTTTCTTTTCCAATTGGATGTAGTAAGTGCCCATGGATTAAGTCTTTCATCTCACCCATAACAAACTAGGCCCTCTGCACTTTTCTAAATGTTTGACCTCCCTCCCCCTCCCCCTCTTATTTTTTACTAGATCCTTTCTTTGCAGTGATTTCCCTTTTGGGAGGAGACAGCAGCAACAAACCGCCACTTCTCCAAACTAAACTAAAAGTCAGAGCCAGCCAGTGCCCTGTTAACACGCTGCTAATAACGCACGCCCCCCACCTCTGATCAGCGCCCCAACTCCAGACAGAAATGCTCACCCAGCCATCTCCCTGATTCTAAATAACAAAAAATAAAAAAACTCCCCAATCTCCACCCAACTTACTTCGAACCTGGCCCAAATCCGATTTCGCCCTCCCAGATTCACCACCAGCCCCCCTCTCCCCCCCCCTCCTCCCTGTCTGCCCCCCTCCCCCTGTCTGCCTGCTCTCTACCCCGTGTCCTGTCGTATTTGCCCTTCGCTCTAACCAATAGCATATGTGTGCACTAACCACTCAAATTTCCTTAGCTGTCGTAAGCTTGTCTTTTACTTGTAGCCTCTGCCCCCTTCTTCTACCCAGCCTGCCCCCCCCTTGTCCTCCTCTCTCTCTGCCCTTCTACTCCAGCCTCTTCTACGCTGCTAAGACTCTCCTAATCTCACATGGCCAGCCCTCTGCCTCCGAGAGTTCAAGGAGGTCTTCAGGAACTCTTTTCCTTTTTAAAAATTACTTCTTTTTTTTCACAAATGAAATAGTCCTGCAGAGGCTGTTTTTACCTCCCAACAAAAGGCCAATGTGGGTTTTCAGAATGCCTGAGTCAGCTTTTCCAAAGTATAACGTATCCCTGTTTTTATCCCACAATTTAAATATTTTCCCCCACAATTTAGTTTGATTTATAAGACGGAGATCCGGCTATATGAGATTATTTATTTCTGAACTCTTCCCCTATACCCTTCCCCACCTCTAAAATGTCTCTTCTCCTCTACCTGTCTTCTTCCTCCTCACCCGTTTGCCCTCTGACCCTCTCCCTCCTCCCTCATACCTCCTTCTGTCCTTCCTTCTCTTCCTATCCTATCATATATATCCTCTTCTATATCTCCTACCTTCTCCCTGTTACCCCGGCTGCTTTGGGAGCCGCAGGCTTTGTGGCCTCCGAGCAGTACAGGCTGTTTGCTAGCTCCCCCTTGTTGTCTCCCTTCCCCCCCTGCTAGGTAGTGAGTAACCATGTCCACCAGAGAAATGAGCCTCTCCCCATCCGCGTCATGGAGATACCGAAGCACGCCACCTACCCAGTGTGGGTGCCGGAGTGGCAAGCCGAGCGGGAGTTTCAGCTCATGACCTTCTGAGGAGCAGCAAGCCGGGGGTGGGAGGAGGGAGGGGGAGGGAGATGATGATGATGATGATGATGATGATGAGGAGGAGGAAGCAGAGGAGGAGGGAACGGGAAGTTAACAGGGCGACATTTCTTCAGTGACACTTGAAGAGTGCGATGGGCTAAGGAGACGAAGACTTGCCGTGCCAACCTTTTTTGCCATTTTACAAAACAACAGAAAGAGAAAATATTTCATCAACAATATCGAGGATGTCCCTTTCCTAGCTTTGTCTGTTTTAAAAATATATATATTGACATCTGTGTTACAAAGTTCTATAAAAGTTCTGCTCTCGCTGATAGACAGCAGGCTGCCATTCAGAAAGCTGTCATGGTTTCTTGTAAGTAGTTCATTTTATGTTAATTTTTAGGGAGTTTAAAGAGAAGTATTCAGAAAGAAAATATGCCTTAATGTCATCAGTAGACAAGCTTTGACGGATCAATATCAGACTCACTTTATCAAACTCACTTTACTCAAGCCATTACATATAAGGTATTTTGTTCTCAGATTAGAGAAGAAAATGCTGCAGTTAATTAATGTTGTTCACTTATAATCAGATAAAAAAATATCCCGCTGTGCAATGGGACTTTTTAAAATGTCCCCTTTCAATGTGCAGTTTATTGAGTTAACTGTTAGATAATCACTTTTGGGATCAGTCTTTGGCCCAGCATTAATCTGACTACAACACATCTGATCTAAGACTTACTTATTCATTAGAAAAGCCCCTTAAAAAAAAATATATACCTTTTTTTTTTATTATGTTGTTTTTGCCGTACGTAAGTAAACAACTATACGACAGAACATTTTATCACTTCTTCTTTTTACCACCGTCACAAATCAATTTCACCAACCGCAATCATTTCAAGCCAGTTTTGCCATTACTGTCGTCGGCCACTAGGTGTCAGCACAGTACACATATTTTTTCCTAGTGCTTCCATGGTCAATAACTCCAAACGATCCGTTTTGTAATCTGTTGTTCCTGACGTCTCAGGCTGTCTGTCCCTTTTTGTGTTGAAAAGCACACTGTTTAGGAATTTAGATGAATACTACGGCATTTTTTATACTTAATCCCATACCACTCATCCATTCCTATTCATTTAATCCATGTATTAATGTCTGCCATTAGGTGTTTTCCATTCCATGTTTTTAATCACTTGACATGTTACTGGATCTCCACGTTTAAAACCATAACCAAAACTAAACAAAGAAAAGAAAAAAAAAACATTTGACCCTGTTTTTCAATATTTGCAGATTCGTGCTTCTGTTTCCAACCTTTCTTCAACATAAAGGGCTTTCCAACTCCTTCCGAATTAGAAGAGCATGATCGTTTAAAAAGAGAGTCCCCCTGCTTTGCCAATCACGATAGAGAGAAGATTATTTATTGAGGACTTACAGCTCGACGCTGCTTTACCCTCGGTGCTTTATTGCATTCAGGGTAATGCGCAGAACTTGCACTAAACGGAAACCATAGGACTTTGCGTCTCAAGTCGAGTTCATTCGAGCGCGCTCAAAGTAGACTGTCAAATATCACAAAGCGAGACAGACTCTAGGGACTCTTCTGGAAATGCCCTGCCCTGCCCGCCCCTACCCCCCCACTCCCTTTCAGACATGCCATACAAACACACGCTGGACAGTCAAGTCACTCTTGGAACTGTTATCCAGCCACCCAATGGACACAACCTTTCCTTACACCACATCACACTGCCTTTCGCCATAAATGAGGACTCAAGGACTAGACATGCCAAGTTGTTTTTTTTGTTCTTCTTTTTCGAATTTCCTACATTCATTTGGTTTGGTTTTATTTGATTCCTTCTTATTTTCCAGGGAGTAATGAATGAAATTGAAACATGTGGTATAAATGTATTATCATAGAGGTATTTTAGAGTAGTTTGGGGTTATTTTATGAAGGCCTTCATAAAAATCAGCGTAGAGTGTGTGGGTGTTGAGGTATTACAGAGATATTATACTGAACGTTGCCAACAAATGACACTGGGTTGCACCGACTTGTATGAATGTAGTTAAACTTAACATTTGTTTTTACTTTTATTTATTTTAAGTTATTTTTTGCACAATCAATTGTCTTTTATTCATTTATTTATTTTCCTCAGTTTAGGTTTGGTACAGAGATTATGAACTCTTGCATAATCGCTTTTCTATCATGAACGGATTGACGAAAATATAGACTGCTGTATATCTTGTATTGTATTTTATTTACAATGGTACTCTATAAAAAGTACATACATATAAGGAGTATATGAAATAATGCCTTTATTGTTCATCCTATATTTTGTGGGAACTGCAATGTTTGGCTCAATCTGTTGAATATTTTGAAGTGAATTTGTGACTTGCTTTGTATGGTGTCTGTATAGAAGCTAAACAAGTCATCATTAAACAAATAAAATGTTGGAAAAAATATAAACACCAGAGTTGGTTTACTTGAACTCAGACTCTACCTCTTCTCCATTGGTGACTGGACATTTCTCATGTTCTGAGTGAGACCATACACACTCATGTCTGTCTCTACCTGTGTCACATCTCTACTTGTTTTGGGGTGGGAATTTTTTTTTCAAATTTATTTTCATGTAAAGTTATATTTCCTGTCTAACCACTTTTTCCTCTCACAGGCATGACCAGAAACTTGAAATGTTCTAACTTTTCTGACAGTAATGTTGTTTAATATTTGCAAAATGATTTTGTCCTACCAGGTTTTGTAGGTCAAAAGTCGACAGAAGCTACTCTAATTTTCATCTCCTGTTTAATAACCTTTTTCCCCTTCTCTCCCTTTAACCTGTTGTGAAATGTAATGTATTTATCATGCTACAAAGGCCCTTATTAGCGACTATGCTAAAGTCCCTGCTGGCTCTACACTGGTATAGCAGCAGTGGGTCTGCAGGTCCGCTAAGGGCCCGCTCGGGGTCTCTCACAGAGGGAAGGATCCCCAAAGGGTTTCAGGGCTGAGTCATGACTCAATGTGTGGTCGTCCTTGGTCTCCTCTGTGTTGAGATGTGTCTATTGTGGTCTTGGTTTGGTCTCTTTATTATTTTATTTTAAACTTGCACGTCGGTGTTACTGCTGTTTGTTCCGCTGGTCTGCTTGTCTGTTAATTTCGAGCTTCTTTTTGAGACTTTTATTTTGCAACGTCGAGTTTCTTCACAATGCTCCAAACACAAACCCTCACTTCTCTTTCTGACCCCCATTCTCTCTTTCCCCCACACACACACCCCAACACACACAACTTTTCCCCAAAAACTCCCCTCACACCCCACAAGGCTTTGCTGTTTGCTGTTGCTTCAGTTTGCTGACTGATTTTCTTGTTTTCTTGCAGTCACGGAAAGCCAGTGAACAATCAAAGAGCGTTGACAGTAAAACAGACAGCATAGGCAGTGGAAGGGCCATACCTATCAAACAGGTAAGACACTTTCCTCATTTCTACCCTACATTTCTTATAGTGACCTGGGTAAGTATGATCTTTGTTGTCTGTTAAATGTGGATGTTCTGTGTTACAGATTTAAATCACAGTGGATTTAGTATACCAGTGTGTACTTGTCATGTCTTGCTTTTACCACAAGATGGCGATGTAATATAACATATCAGAAATAACTCAGCGTAAGTACAAGTGTAGCTGAATGAAAGAGAAAAGAAGGCTGGAGGTTAAGACATAGCAGTAAGACATAACATCAGAAAGGTTATTGGTATTTGTGGTAATCCTCTTCATATCGCGATTAAAAAAAGAAGTAGTTGTTTTTGAAATTCTAAAGGCACAATAAATGCATTTTTACCCAGTAAATTGTGGGAAAATTATGAAATTGAATTGTGTGTGTTTCTCAAATGACTTAAAATAAAGGTTTTTTTTGTATTCACTGTCTACAAAAATGTTTTAAAAAAGCATAACAAAGCTTCAGAAAACCTTTTGAAAAATACGATGTACTGATGTGTAAATGTATGAATCTCAGTCACTCAGTTGGAGAAAGATTATTTCAATCCTGTGATCAATTTGGATAATAATCTTAGATTCAAATCGTGGATGCACCGGTTCATAGAAAAACATTTGCTCCCAGTGGAAATGTAATTGTTTTTATTGCTCATAATTGTGCGTGGGTAGCATTTTTGCATAAAGGTTCATTCATGCATATCCATATAATAGACTTTGACAGCTAGGATTATCTGAAAATCTGATTAGATATCCCAGTAGACACAATTTTCTTTAGTGTTCGTTTCTGACTATTTGTTTTTTGAGGTACTTTCATGACCAGAAACGTTGTGCTTAAAAACTACAGATCACATACTGCCGTTTCTATTTTTCTAAGTTTTTTTCCCATAGTGAGTGTTTTTTATCATATTTTTCTTTATGATTTTTTATGTGATCATGCGTTGTTTAAAAGGACCCGCTGTTTAGTACTGAGCAGTAAATTACATATCTGAGTGAGGATCATTTTCTAAAGGTCCGTCTACAACCGAAGGAGAAGTAATTGACACATTGATTAGTAATCACTTGTGATTATATGAGGGCTGTTGAAAATGGGTCAGCATCATTATATTATCCTCTTTACCTGCAAATGATACAAGATAATGTCCTATTTTTGAAAATGTTGAGCCAGACCTTCTCATTCCCTTCGGATGAAAATTGCCAAGGCTTTGGTCCAGCGGTAAAAATAATGGCTGGGTGACACTTCCAAGCCCCCTCACTCAATCAGAAAATAATGCTGTGGAGAAACCAGTTTAACAGATACAATATCTATCGGTCCGTCTGTCTGCCACAGATACTAGATGTTCTTGTAATAGATACAAAAGCTTCACAGTGTTATAAAATGTTTTTAGAAATGTAGGATTACATCAGTCATATTTATTAACACAGCAGATGTTAAAATTGGGGTTTTATTTGTGCCCAACAACCTGAACAATGGCTAAAATCGGTAATAAATGCATTTGAGAATTTCTTAGTCGACTAACAATCACATGTTTAAGTCAATTTGACTGTTAGTTGATTAATTTGGTTAAGGGACTGAGAACAGGCAGTACTAAAATCACCCCCTTAAAAAAACACAATTGTAAATGTAAAACCTAATAGTGGCTATTCTGCACACATTTAATTGACATGTTATCTGGGTAAAGCTCTTGGTTTTATTGTAGCTTAGTGTAATTCCCTGCAGAAGCTGGGGAATCTGATGAGTGCTGGTGAGCAGAGTTTGGTTTTCACACATTAGAAAGAATCCCCTCTGAGCGATCTTTACTGTAAACTCTCCCATTCTTCTCCAGTACATTACAGGGGGGGGGGTCCTCTCTAAAGTCTGGGGCCAGTTTCTCTGAGTTTCATGGCAACTTTTGACAAGAGCCATCCCCCTCTTTTATCTACAAAGGATCTTTTTTGGCTATACAGATGTGGAGGGAGGGGGTTAGCCGTGTGACTCGCTGATCTCCAGGCCAGTCAAATGCACAATCAAGGAGATCAAAGTGTCAATGTGGGCTTAATTACCACTGCCCCCCACTCACCCCATCGAGCCAAATTACACACAGCCCCCCATCTCTTCCCTCTGCTCCTCCTATCTATAAAAATAGTGAGTGAGGATAACAATGCACTCACTGCTGAGGAGCCGCCAACAGCAGTGAGTGCATTCTTGCCCCATCACCGACCCCCCCCCCCCCCCCAACGACACAAGCAACACACCACACAACACACATGCACCACACAGACACACACACACACACACACACACACACACACACACACACACACACACACACACACACACACACACTGTTCCCTGTCACAAAGGGCTGTCCTATCAGTCAGCCACAGTGGCAGGATGCAGCTTTTCTCCTGGTCTTCTGACAAAAGAAGGGAAAGACACTATCTCCTCTGTGTAGATATGACAATTGTGTGGCCACAGAGACACCTCTGACGATCGGCCTGTTTCCTTATGTCGCACAGCCTGAACACACATCTCTTTGTGTGTGTGTGTCAGTGTTGTATGAATGCACAGGGCTCCAAACATGTTGCAATTTGATGTCAAACCACCACACTGCTCAATCTAAATGCGGCAGACAATTAAACAATTATGACAAATTATGTCAAATAATTTGTCTTCCGGCAACTGACAGTGGCGTGCTTTATGAACGATGTGCCACAGCAGCTGTTCACATAAAACAGCAGAGAAATTAGTCTGCACATGTAAAGATTTTCACATTATTTTCTAAGCATCTTTATTGATCTGCTACACAGCTCTGATAAATATATGTAGCGCCGCACTGATTGCATGTATAGATTTATGAATGCTTCAGTAAGGCCACGAGATGAGCAACATGTTTGCTTGTAAAACATGTATTATAGAGTCGCCAGAGGCCCTGGGACTGAATCATTTACTTTGTATGATTAGAGCGTCGTTTAAAAAGTGTTTACAGTCATTTTATTGATTAAGTTTAGAATTGTGGGCAGTCGGCAAGTTATCGATTTAGGGACACAATATTTCATTCTGAAAAATCATCAGAACCAAGGATATATAAAGTAGCATATATATGTAATTTAAATGCGCTCTGTGCTTTCTGCTTTTTAAACGGAATATTTACAACATATTAATATATATTTTTAGATAAAATAAGGAAAATAAGGACAAAATTGTTGTCTAACTTTTTGTTTTATTCCAATGCAAAACAAGACGTATTCAGTTGAATTTATAACGTGTCAGCAACACACAGGCAACTTTTGTGCAATGCTGGTTTGTTTTTTCGATGTGGTCTTAGTTTTATAACTTTAATAACTTTTCCCCGTGGCAAAATAAGATTTTAGGAGTAGAAAACATCAGAAAATAATACAATATTCTCCGTTACCTAGTGACTTTAATTGAGAAGAGCGAATTTGGTGGAGTAGATTTACAGAATTGTTTGTATCTCCAGTGAGAATCTTTAAACAGGCAAGTGTATTCATAAGATATTAAGAAGAATAAATTCTCTCCCCCCCCCCTCAGATGAATCAGGTTTGGGATTAGGATGATTGTCGGCACACAGCCTGGTGCCTAGGTCACAGAGGGTCAGCTCTCCCTGATGTGTTAATAAGGATTAAAGCCTGCAGGATGCGCCTGGCTAGCAAAATACAACCCCCTCTACCCCCCCCCTCTTCAGCTCACACACACACACACACACTGGCCCTGGCTGTAAAAGCACAAACATTGCCCCGGCTTAATCCCCTAATTAAGCGTGCCCCTCCTCACTATTTAACCCCAGAGAGCCTCCTGGCCCCTGCACTCAGCAGCGTTTGGCCACCTCCAGCAGAGGAACTGCATTGTTTACCAGTGGATTTACTCAGCAGATAAGGAAACCATCTGATGCCCTAAAAGGCGCCAGAAGATAAAGTAGAATAGAATAAGAGCTGAGTGGGCTTTGAAGAGGGGAGATCACACTCCCTAATCCCCAGATTGAGAGGTCTTCCAGAGTTCAGCATGTTATGTGTATGAATGCAGGGAGGAGGTCTGGCAAATTGGATTGTCTCTCCCTCTGAAAGGCCTCAGTGCCAGAGGAACCTGGCCAACTTTGCAGGTCGAATAATCACAATGGAAAAACTAACATATCATTAAACCACCCAGCAAATTATAATGAAGAATGAAAGTTTAAGGGATTTAATTACATAGAACTATTATGTTTTCATGTTGTTTTAAATGTATAATCACTTCCACACTGTTACATAATTGTCACTTAAAATGTTTGTTTGCGTTATGACTTGCCACACAGAGATCTGCCATAACGAATCTGAAATGACAATAATAATGCTGCTTTATAGTATTTAACATCCATAATGGCTCATATTATCCACCATGCTGCTTTGTGAAGAGCATATGCTCACCGTGATGCCTCGTGTCTTACAGGGAATCCTTCTGAAGCGAAGTGGCAAATCCCTCAACAAGGAATGGAAAAAGAAATATGTCACACTGTGTGATAATGGCGTCCTTACTTACCACCCCAGTTTACACGTGAGTCTGAACCCCCCCCTCCTCTCTTCTTCACTTCCCATTTCTTTTTCCAATCGGCTTTATGTGTTTGTTACACTACTGTTTGTACTCGAGGGTGCCGCTGGAGGTTTTAATGTGGGACTGTTTTTCAACCGCTGCTGAGCATGATTCTCTTGATGGGATTACATTTACAACCCTTTCCGTAGTGAGCGGGATTACAAGCATATAGGCTCATGAGACTTGTGTAACAGCTAACCCAGTGACTCTAAGCGTAGTATTAAGAAACGGTGTGTCCTAGTGGTCATCTCTGTCCCCCACTGGGATGCCCTTCCCCGGTGCCGTCTAATGGAGACATGGTGTGTGTGCCCGCCGCGCCCAGACTCCACGCTGCCTTGTATTTATAATGGTTCTCACCACATGGCAGCAGAGCCTGACCAGCCTCCCACATCCATCTATGTCAGAATCCTGCTGGGCCGCTAATACCTCTTAAACACTCGGCTGGCTGGCAGCAGACAGATCAGATCCCGGGTGCCACACTCCGAAAACTCTCGTCTTTTTATTCCCCCAAAACACCTTCATTTCCTCCCTGATTCTTCCAGCCTTGTGTTTGAGATGTTAGGAGATCATTTGGCGAGGTAAGATGAGAGATGTCTGCAACCTCTTGTGTCTAATGAGACTGCTCAAACTTTGAACACAAGCCCAACAGTTAGACGCGAACCTTGTGTGTGGCCTTGTTGCACTGACAGTGTGTTAGCGGTTTAATTTACAAGCAGTTATTAGTAGAGTGGAGCAGTGCTACAGTGATGTATGTAATTGACTGAGCAGGCTATCTCTTGATCATTACCGCTATTACAGGTCATCAGGGCAATCTTTGAATCTATGAATCTGTTGACTTACAGAGGGAGGTGAGATAAGGGAGACAGTTACATTAGCGCCGTAACAGCTCGAGCTCATTTTGAGCAGTGGAGCAGAGACGGGGTAAGAAAGGGGAAGAGAGATTGAGGAAAGGAGAGAGGGAGAAGGAAAGAGGGAGGGAGGCAGACTGAGAGTGGAAGAGGGGAACCTTTAATTTCGCAGTCAGCCAAGCCATCCACACAATCACCTTCTGTTAATTCTATCTGCTACATCAATTAAATTGTTTGTTGAAACTAATTGAATGTGGCTTAATCACACATCTTAATAGCTTTGCACGCTTCGATCTGGCTGTTAATTCCAGCAATAAAATGAAATGAGAGCGCTCACTGGGTAATTAGCGAGGAGGCTTGGGAAAGAAATGAGTGCTTTATGACACGGTAATAAAGCAGAGGAGCCGGTGGGGGGACGGCAAAGGCCGAGCTCGCCTCTATTTGGGTCTTTTTCTGCTGAGCCCAATGATTTTCACCTTGGCTTCCCACATTCGGGTAGTAGTCGCTTTAAACCAAATCAGATGCCCAAATTGAAAGTGAATGAGACTGTTTGCATTCATTAAGCCTATCATCTCGCTATCTGGAGAGATGGCGTGGGCACAGGTGATGTATAATGGCTTTACAATCATTTTTCCACTCTCACACGTTTAGTGGAAGGTCTGAGATGGGTTGTGACTAATGGGGATGGAAATTGAATAGTCTTTTAATCTGTTTTTCTTCCATAATTCCAGATTCTCGTTGGTCTGCGGTGTATAATCAGTTACCTGTATTGAGGGAATTGTATGAAATATTTGGACTCCTACTTGACTAGATCACAGTCCATCCACAATAGCTGTCATGTTATTTTTTTGCACTTTCTATAGGACTACATGCAGAATGTGCATGGGAAAGAGATCGACTTGCTGAGGACAACGGTAAAGGTTCCTGGGAAGCGACCGCCCAGAGCCGTGGCAACCGTCGCCCCGACAGCTAGTCCCAAAACCAACGGGCTGACCAAGGACCGCAGCACCCTGCAGCTGGGCATCGGAAACACAGGTACCACGTCCTGTCCTCATTATATGGCCAGAGTGATACAAGTTACTGTGCTTCGTTTGCATTTTTCATATTTTAGATATAGATTCAAATACATTGATTGAGTGATTCATCTGCATTATGATCCCTCTTTTCTATACTGTTTTAAAGCAGGACTCTGCGATTCAAACCAATACATGTTTGATATGGCCAGAACACATTTGTGAAATGGAGATTAGTTAAATATGTCTTGAAGGTGATTATGTGCTACCTTTTTAATCTTCTGTATTAAACATTGAAACGTAATCATATGAAGTTTAGTATCATAAACAACACTTTGAAGGCGCATCCACTCAAAGACTTATCAAACACACTTTTTGTCAAATTCAGCAAATACCTCCTTTTGGTTTGCAAGCTGTTCGTTATGTAGTGAGCCGAAACATAATGTTGGGCACATACAAGGCCCCTGCTCTTAAGTGGGAAACAAACAACGTCAACCCAAAACTAGGGTGGCCCTGAAGTGCAAGTCAAAACAACATTTCACAAAACACTACAGCATTTCAGAAAACACTACAGCATTTCAGAAAACACTACAGCATTTCAAAAAACACTACATCATTTCAACTTTTACGGAAAGGGTATTCCTTTAGGGAAAACACTTCTTGTTTGTGATTGGACAGAGCCAGCCAGAGAAGCACTGCTGTGATTGGTTGTTTTTGCTGCCAGTCAAGAAATGACGCTTCGTGATTGGTCAGCACCCGACAGC